GTTCGAGCAGCCTGAGTCGAGTAACTAGATTTTGGATTCAACATGGTTATCTGCAACTGCAGCCATAACCACCACACCACCTTCAGAATCATCTGAATCTTGGCGTGCAAGGTTCGCTGCTTCGTTCTTGCTTGCATATCCCTTGTCTTTTCTGTACCAACAATTCTTGGCTATGTGACCCCACTTTTCATAGTTATAGCACTGGACACCTTTTTTATCTTCTTTTCCATTTCAATAGTTTCCTCCTCCTCCTTTCTAGGATTCAGAAGCTTCATCTTCAACTTGATGTTTGTGAGGTTTTGACCAAGAGTTCTTTCCCCGAGTCTTGTCGAATTTGCCTTTGAATTTGTTGGAACCACCATCCTTTTTCCATGACTGAGATTGTAGAGCCTGTATCAAGTCTTGCACTCATTTCCTTTTTACAATCCTCATCTCATGCGCCTCCAACGAACCAATCAAATTTTCCACTTTAGTGGTTTCAAGATTATTGGATTCTTCAATAGCTACGATAACATGATCAAAGTGAGAGGTCAACATTCTCATTACCTTCTCAAGTATTATCTTATCTGTTATGGTTTCACCACAACCCCTCATGAGATGGATGGGTTTTTTAACCTTCGACATATATTCTACAACTTTTTCATCTTCTTGCATCGAAAACAACTCATATTGTCGATACAAGGTTTGTAACTTGACAACCTTGACTTTCTCACCTCCTTTGTAATAACTCACCAGAATATCCCATGCCTCCTTTTTCATTTCAGCATGAGAGATTTTGTCTAAATTAGCAGCATCGTCCGCTGTCTGAATGCAATAAGCAGTCTTGCAATCTTTCTTCTTGACTTCATTGTGGGATTTTTCTGTTTGTCTGTAGCATTTGCAGCCAATGCAGGAACACTGTCGGTAACCACTTCTAGGGTTTCATGGAAACCAAACAAGGATTGCATATGTTTTTTCCATCAGATCCAATTCTTGTCGTCAAGTATTGGAAGAGAATTTGGAATTCCCTTATGACTAGCCATCTTCATAGCAGTTGATTCACTTGCCCTAGAAACACGATCTCTGATGTGAAATTCTTGAAAACTTGATCAAGAACAATAACCGGAAGCTCTGGATACCAATTTGTTAGTGCGTGTGGCACTTTAGTGAGGAGAGAAAGTGGGAATAATAAAGGAAATAAGGATTTATATTATTGAATTATACAAATAATAATACATACTAGGACTATTTATATACAACCCTAATTGGGTTTGGATCTACACAACTTGAATTATATTTAAATATTAACTCTAATCAAATCTAATCTAATATAATATTTTAACAAATCTAATTTAATATTTTGACACCCATGAAAGTGAATTTCAAAGGAATCATGCTTAATAATTAGACAGACGTTTATAGGAAAACAATCGTTTTGGTTGTGATCATGCTCTTAAATTACGGTTGTGGATGTGGTTACAGTTGTACGTTGAAATTTTATTCTACACATGATAGATGTTGGACACGATTTATGAGACAATGTGTATAATAATTTAAAGAAGATTGACAAATACAATAAAATGATAGATCATAAGGCAATAAATAACACAATACAATTGGTAACTCAGTTTGATACAACGTCCCCTATGTTTGGGGTCTTCAAACCCAATAAAAAAATTCACTCTCAATAATATTAGTACAATTAATCTTGAATGAACAAACCTTGTTCAATGCATACTTCATTATACTATTTGTGTCTTTCTATTTAGGACTCCCTAAATATGAAAATCTCTCTATCTTTCTCTCAATCACTACCCTTGTGATTTATGCTCTCAACGAAATAAAGATGTTGAATTACAACTCAACTAACAAACAACTTTTATGCCTTGAATATTTAGGATATGATTCTTTAGAGGTTTACAATAAACAACAAGAATATATTGAATCAAAGAACAAAACCTAGCACAATTGATCTTCAATACTTGCGTGATATATTTATAAAGATTTAACTGCAGGGTCTTCAAAAGATTTAATTTGATGCAGATTGGTTTTTGATGAAGATTTGATTTGCTTGTCTATAAAGATATGACTCTAAAATCAATTTAAATCTTCTTAGATTTGATATGGTCATGGAGAACCCTTTAGCCAATCTTTCTTAACTTCATATTGCTAAAAGACACAAAACTTTGAATTAACTAAAAATGCACTCAGATTTACTCACTGAATCTGTCTTTCAAACTGAGGACAAATGTTGCACACATGCTAGAACATCTCGCCCCACATTTTGCCTCTTCACAAATGCATCTTATTTTACCTAAAGTAGTCAACCAAAGGAATAAAAATCTCCCCTTTGGTAAATTTTGTCTAAAATATTACAACCTTTCTACAAGATGCACACGAGTAAATAAAAAATAATTCTCATTCAAAAGAAACACACAAACACACATATCATAGCATACTGTAGCAAGAGTGATAACTCATAAGTATATCGTACTTTTCGACTCGATTCACATGCATTTTTGTGTCATTTTTTATGTGTTTTTTCTATGTTATGTTGGTGTTGTATTTGGATTTCAGGTAATTATCAATTGGAAGTTTCTTCGCATCAAAATGGTAAAAAAGTATTAAAAAAATGGGAGAAAATTACATGCATTCTATTGTCATGACAACCTTCGTGCGGTCATGACGGTCGTTACCGTCTGAAAAAGTCAAGCTCATCACCAGCAAAGTCAACGAAAATTGAAGAATTTTTTTTTGATGTCATGATGGTCTGGTCGTCACCCCCATGAGGACCGTCACGGTTCCCTTACTTATGACGGTACCAATAGTCACCCTCATGACGATCGTCATATGAGGGTCCAGTCTAGAAAAAGCGCCCACGTTGCACACTCAGTTTTTCTACTTCATATATTTTTCTCCACTACTTTACCCATGATCCAGTAACTACGTTAAACATGCAATATGTATTTATCATTTCATGTTCATAGCATAAATAATGATATTAAAAAATAGCCTGTGCATACAGTAAAAAGTGAATTTATCATGATTAAAGTTCACTGCGAAAGTAGTAACATAGCGATACCAATTTCAATTCGAAAGAACGAAACCCTTATCTGGCGGTTAGAATTTCAAAAATCAATTATAAAATACAGAAATATATTTTTAGTTAATATAGATTTATTTGATTTTCAAACAGTGATTTTTACTGATAAACATACATGCGAAAACAGACGTTTATAAGTAAAATCTAGTACTAGTTACGCGAAAGAAAACAATACCTTTAGATTAAATTTTCTACTAAAAGAAATTTTTTAGTAAACAAGAATATATTATTTTAACAGGTATTTCGGAGCTGTAATATGTACACGGGAAAGTGGTCGAGTAAAGTTCAGATCTGAAATATGGTGTCGTACACGCGAAAGCAGACACCACCTTTAATTTAATTCTCCATTTTACAAGAAAATATTTCCACTTTATAAACTAAAATTCACGACTTTGCGAGTACCAACGGTTGATGTGAGCTGCATTCCAGTCTCCCATTATCATAATTAATAAAAAACTGTTTATTTTCCCATTCACACGAATAATCCATTCACATTGTGTTAGCTAAACATATTAATAGTAAAATGACGATAATTGACATTAGTCTTTGTGGGATTGATAATATTTTATACTAAACCTATATTTTCGTGCATTTGAGAACCTATCAAGTTCACACATCAACAACAAAAGACTACACACATGCTCACAAACATCAACAACAAAAACACATGCTCACATAGTTGAAGGCTAGATGTCGGGCCAAATGTTCCAGCATGTGAGCACACAATTATTAATAATGATCACACAGTAACACTCCACATATCACATTAGAACACACACATGTCAGGCATATAACATTAGCTCAATTCATGCACATGTTTACTCCTTTACTCCCCATTTTTGCCACAATTTGGAAATGGTATAGAAAAAGAAAACCATATCATAATAGAGAACCACATTTGGAAAATATGATATCTTTGTCATAGTACATAACCAAAGTCATTTTTAAAGATTCATTACAATCCCGGTAACACAGAAAGTATAACACGCTCATATACAAAGGCAAAAAAACTGAAAGAAACATTGCAAACATGAAAGAATATAGTAAACAATAGACAACTAGCAGAAGTCCTCGATCTTAAGAGCTTTCCTCCTCTTCCTCACTAGCATATTGTTCTCCCCCTTTATTGTCTGCTTCTTCTTCGTCCTCAACTTTCTTATCCTTGGTCGGGATTTTGATCAAACCATCCATATTCCTCTTCCTAATGGTACTAGCAATAATTGTTTCTTGCATAGCCTTTATAAATACAATTAACTCAAACAACACATCCTTTATGGCGGCTTTAGTTATCGGGAAATAATTCCTAACAAAATCTTGACCTTGATGCTTTGTCACCACAATTTCTGGAACATGTGTTATGACAGCTGCCTATAATAAAGGGTTAGTGGCCTTAGAATTTTGTTAGGATATTCTTCACTCAATTCTTTTCATGGGAGATTCTTCTTTGGTAAACATATTTCCACTTATGAACAATTCATTCAGAGTGAAATGAAACATTATCCAAGGGTGCGGGAGAAATATTCATAGGAATTATTTTTCCACCAACCTTTATCCTTATGGTAAACACAATGTCCTGAATATCTTCTTCAGAATTTGTCTCAGAGTCACTTAATTGAACAAAATTTGTCTTTAGAGACTTCTTCTCAATAGTTTTCTCTTCAACCTTTCTTTTCTATTTCAAGCGTCCTTTGTGGAGTTTTCTTCTTCACAATTTCAGTGTTGTTCATGGAGGTTTTGGGAGGTACATCTTTCTTCTTTTCTTTTATCCTATAAGCCACAAACCTAATTGTACTCTTAATCATAATGACAATAGGTTTTTCATAAGTTTTAGTCTTTTCATCCACATCCACTACTTCCCTATCCTTTTCTTGAGTATCTTTGTCTTGAGACTTGAATACACTCTTAATGATTCTCTTCATTATGTTGGAAATAGGAAAATGTCATCATCCTCATCAAATTCTACAATTCTTTCTCCTTGAACCCCGAGATCTTTATTTTGAGGGTTCTCATCCCTCAAATCTTCAGAAGAATCATCATATTCATCCAAGATGTCATTCACATGTGTATCAAAGACATGAATATCAATAACTAGTTTAGTAGGGGGTTTAGCCCGTGTTTCACTAGATGCTGGAACAGATGTTTCAACATTTGGTTCAACATAAGGATCAACATGTGATTCAACATGTGGTTCCATATGTGGTTCAGTAGGGGTTTCAACAGATGTTTTACCAGATGGCTCAAGATCTTGTTCAACATGTGGATCAATGGTGGTTTCAACATGTTAAACAACATTTTCAATAGGAGTGGTATCAGATGCATTAGCCACCCTATATTTAGTTACAGTCTCAATAGGCTTATCAATATGTGCATGCATATATGTGTCTTTTTTAGAGGATCTTACCTTTTTAGATGTCATCTTCTTGGATTCAAACTTCTTTGTCTTTGGTATATCGACAGGCACAATCATTTGAAGAGGTACAACATTGCGTGTTACATCTTTTTCATCAAGCTTGCTTCTAGACCCATAAGCCATATGTTTCTTCTTAGTTGTTTGTTCTCCCATTTTGACTCCTAGCATCTTGACCCCATACATATTGGTAACTGGGTTGGATTTAGAGGTATTAGATTTATTAGATTTTTGACTCACTTTTGAACTGGTATGAAGAACTTGAGAGATATGAAGATGAATAGTTGTGGTAGAATAATAGAGAGAGAGAGAGAGAGACAAATAGTCATGCGAGTAAAAAAGGAGAGGTTTTGAAAATGAACTAAAATAGGAATTTTGTTCTTTATTTTACATACAACAATGATCACAAGGGAGATAAAATTTTCTTTTGCATGCCTCTTTTGCATTAATTTCTATAATATTTCACACGTGTAAATACCAAGAGAAACCCTTAGATTTTCAAATTGAACATCATCCAAGGCTTTTGTGAAAATGTCTCTTAGTTGCCTTACTAGTAGATCAAGATAGTAGGTGAGACTTCCTACAAGACTCATCTCAAATTCAGATTGCATTTGATGAAAAAAATGTTCCACCATCTCGATGACATCAAAAGTGTTAGATTTTTCTTTAATAAATTTGATCCAAGTTTATCTTGAAACATCATCCTCACATATGAAAACATATCTTTTTCCACCCAGAATTTCCAATTGCATTGGCCCTAAGAGGTCCTTATGAAGTAACTCAATAACTTTTAAGGTGGTAAGATGTTGGAGCTTCTTGTGGGTAATCTTGGTATGCTTTCCTATTTGGTAATCTTTATAGATTTTGCCTTCTTCAATCTTGAGCTTTGGCAATCCCTTGATAACATTTTCATACATGATCTTTTTCGTACTCTTGAGGTTAAGATGACCAAGTTTTTGGTGACATAGCTTGGTCCCATCTTCCTTAGTTATCATACATGTTGAATGTTTACTTTTGTGTTGAGATACCCTTAAATAATAGTTGTCTTTGCACCTTGAACCTTTCATTAACACTTCTTGATCTTTGTTGGAAATAATACATTCTGATTTGTTGAAGCTCACATTCAAATCTTGATCACATAATTGACTTATACTGATCAAGTGTGCAATTAATCCTTCCACCAGCAACACATCATCAAAGCTATGGAGACATAGATATACCAATTTACTTATACCCTTGATTTTTCTTCTTGCTCAATCACCAAACTTAACATAACTATTGGAGTATGGTTTTAACTCTTCTAGGTAGTTCTTTTTTCTAGTCATGTGCCTAGAACATCCACTATTAAAGTACCAATCCTCTCTTGAGGAAAATCTAAGATATGTATGAGATATGAGACTTGTGGTTGTTTATTTGGGCTTCCACACTTTCCTTTCTTGAGAGTTCTTGCCTCTTTTTCTGTTGAACCTTGACTGAATATATGACTGAGGATATCCATACAGTCTATGGTAGTCGGGCTTTATATGACCATATCTTCCGCAGTAGCGACATTACTATGAGGTTTTCTTGTTTCCTTTGTTTTGAGGATACATATATCAAATGTTGTGATATATGGTCCAACATTACAAACTTTGTCTTCTTCTTAGGGGTAACAAACTTCTTAGGGGGGACTTTGATTTCTTTGTTAAACATACGAAGAAATTTTGTCATATTTTCAAGTTTGGAATTTAACATAGTGACTTCGTCATTCAGACTAGCGATGATTGAAATAAGTTTCTCTTTTTCTAGAGGAAGAGAAATTATAGTTTTCTTATGTTTCTCTCCTACCACAAGTGATTTCTTCTATCGACTATACAAAAGTTTGTATGTTTCAACTAACTATTCATCAGTGATTTCTTCATCACAAGAATCACTATCAGATTCATATTTTCTAGGGAAATCCATCACCTTATTAGCTATTTCTTCTTCACTCTCATCATTAGTATCAGACCAACTAATTGACATTCCCCTTTTCAGTTTCTTTAAAAATGTAGGACATTCATCTTTTATGTGACCAAAACCTTCACATTCATGACACTAAATCCATTTTCCTTTGTTAGGTTTGTCTTCATCTTTGCTTTTGGACTGGGGACCAATGTTATTGAAGTTGTCTAGAACTTTGTCTTCGACATTTATCCTCTATCTTCTATCCAGTCTCTTCAAGGATTTTTTAAGCTTTCTACCAATGAGAGTTATAACATGTGATAGACCTTTTCACTTTCGCCTTGATCTCCATCGTCTTCAGTGTTGGATACAACGGACATACTCTTGTTCTTGTTTTCAGACATATCATTTATATCCATCTCAAAGGTTTGTAGATAACCAATGAGGTCATCAACTTTGATGATGCTTAAGTTTTGGGCTTCTTCAATAAATATAACCTTCATATCAAACTTCTTAGGTAGTGATCTAAGGATTATTCTAGCCAACTTTTCTTTAGACATCTTCTCTCCTAATGTAAAATAAGTGTTGGCAATGTCACGCAGTGTAATGTTAAAGTTAGAGATGGTTTCCCCTTCATTCGTTCTTACACTCTCAAACTTTGTTATGAGGAGTTGCAACCTTGACATACAAACTTTGGGCGTGCCTTCATGTGCAGTTTTGAGAATCTCCCATACATTTTTGGCTTCAATACATGTGTTGATCAATCTAAACACGTTCTTGTCCACACAATTGAAAATAGCTTCAAGGCCTTGAAGTTTACAAGAGCTTCATCATCTTCAGCATTAGTCCAATCAAGCTTTAATATTGATGTTCCATCTTAAGAGGTAGTCACATGGTGTTTCCAACATTTTATAACAACCTTCCATGTTTTGTTGTCTATGGATTTGAGGAAAGCTACCATTTTAGCTTTCAAATAATCTTAGTTGGTGCCATCTAATACATGTGGTCTATTGACTGGTCCTCACTCCTTATTATTGTCCCTTTTAACAAAAGATACTTTCCCTGGAGCTCACCCAGACAGGATAAAGTGTTTGCTCTGATACCAATTGAAATCATGTTCAACACAGGACAACTGTTGGATACGATGTTTGGGACAACGTGTACAATAATTTAAAGCATATTGATAGCTACAAGATGATAGGTCATAAAGAAATAAAGAAACTAACAAAATTAGTAACCTAGTTCGGTGCAATGTCACCTACGTTTGGGGGGCTTTCAACCCAAGAAATGAAATTCACCCTAAAAAGTATTAGTAAAATTAGTTTTAGATGAACAACCCTTGTTTAATGACTACTTCCTAATACTACATATGTCTTTCTATTTAAGACTCCCCTTAAATATGAGAACCCCTCTCACTTTCTCTCAATCACTACCCTAGTGATTTATGCTTTCAAGAGATTAAAGATGTTGGATAACAACTCAAATAACAATCCACATATATGCCTTGAATATTCAAGATATGATTATTTAGAGTTTTACAATAAACAACAAGAATACAAAGACTAAAATACAAAACCCTAGCATAATAGATCTTCAATATTTGCGTGATTTCTTTGATGTATATTTGTTTATGAGGAAGATCTAATTTGCTTGTCCATAAAGATATGATTCTAAAATTAAATTAAATCTTCTTAGATTTGATATGGTCATGGAAAATCCTTTAACTAACCTTCTTTAACTTCATATTGTTAAATGATATAAAACATAAATGACAAATATTCTTGGAATCAACCTAAAACCTCCTCAGATTTACTCACTGAATTTGCCTTTCAGACTAAGGACGGATGTTGCATACATGCTGGAACATCATGTCCCACATGTTGCCTCTTCACAAATTCATCTTGTTTTTCCCATGTTGTTTTACCTAAAGCAGTCAACCAAAGGAACAACATGTGTGTTGTGATTATGGTCATTGTAGTTGTTCTGTTGCACATTGCAACTATTGTGGCGTGAATTTTGATCGAAACTTTTTTGAAATAAATAATTGAAAACACTCAGGTTATTATTTTTAATTAAATGAAAATAGTTGATGTTTAGGGTTTTAAAATTTTTATTTTTGATAAAAATACTCGAAGAAGCAATGAACATAATTGTTTGATATAGTTCCTAATGCGGTCAGACACAAGATTAAAATCACACTGCAACGGGTGTAAGATGCGTCTGCGGAAAAAACCATATAAGCAATATTGTAGCCGCAACCTACAATTTAAAATCATGATTGTAATTATACAACATTCAAAACCCAATTGAATTTAAAAAATTAACAAATTATCTATGATTCTATTAGATAATATGTAACTGACCTTTTATTATAATTAGTCAAATCATTACTTCAAAGAGTACATATTAGAACGTCCATTTCACCACTGTTTAACGAAGGACTGTGGTGACATATTAAAAATCAGACACCATCAGTCTTATTATTTATTTATTAAAAATAGTTTACATATTACCGCAATCGGATAAAGCAACCGTGTTAAAATTCGAAAAGTTCATGGATTCGAATCTCAATGCCAACAGATTTCACTTAGGTTGAATATTCTAACCATGGTGATATTTTTACTATTTTCTTTATATCAACGCATTTATTTTTGATTTATTTTGAAACTAAAAATAATCCAGATTTTACTAGACTTGAATAAACCAATCATGGTGATATGATTTCCTTTTTTTAAATGATTAAAAACTAGTATTTTTATGAAATTAAATTAAATAAATGGAATATGACCATGGTTGGTTTAACCAATCATGGTGAAATTTTCTATTATTATTCAAGAAACACACCTTAACTCATGTGTATTAAA